CTTTTAACAGGATGTGGAAGTGACAGATGGAACTGAGCTGTCCATCACACACTGGTGACACCTTTGAGCCTGATTAAACACACACCTCAGACAAAATTGCTTACCTTGGGTTGATCAAACTACACAGYACAAAACATCCAGCCTTTGGGGGAGACTGACCCCAGAGCCTGTTCTTGTGGCTGCAGCCTCTCTGGGCTGCTCATGTTGTGCAGCCAAAAGGAATACAAGAACATCTAGGTGCCATCCAGAGGATGGCCAGGAATTGGCTTGGCTAGAGGAAAACTGGAGGGATCACCCTGACAGGCTCTAGTGAAAATATCTCAACAACCCTCAGCTACAGAAAATCACAGAATAAAGCAAGCAACAAACAGGAAAGAACATACAAGAAGTAGCCACTAGTCACACCAAGGACCTGGCCAACCTTCTGCCCTTACCTTTAATAAGCTCTGGTTTGTAGGCTTTTCTTAGCTGCTCTAGGAAGTTGTTATAAAAAGACTCTGCCTGCTCYGTGGGCATTGCCATGTGATAGTCAGGCTTGTTTCCCTTCAGGATGCACTGCAGAGTAAACTGGCTCACACACAGCACTTCATACTGTTTATCCATCACACTCTTGGACCAGTGCTTCCCGCTTTCATCTTCAAAGACTCGCAAGTTCAAGATCTTCCGAACCCTAGGAGGAGGAGAAGGTAACTCCTAAATTGTCTCATGTAGGATCAACAGAAGATATTAGGTAAATTTTCTACTGCAAAACAAAAGGCACCAGAAAACACAAGGCTCTTATGACATTTATTGATCTGTCTTTGCCTCAGCTACACAAATTCGACTTTCAGTAATTAAGTTGCTCCTCTATCTCATATACTCATACACACTCCTATATCTCATATATACTCACCTAGCTCATACAGAATGAGATAACAGATGCACATTCAGCGTGCCTCACATAACAAGATATCCTTTTGCACCTTCCTTCCCAGCCATGGGAAWCTAATCACGTTAGGAAGAACCATAACCCTTATCTAGCTACATAATGGTGCCAGATCATTAATCCACACCATAATTTCACAGAGTCTGGTAGCAGGACAGAATAACAGTGACATAAAGCTCACTCTTCACTCTCTGATTTTATGTGTCACAACATCATTAAATGTGAATTTTAATCCTCCCACCGCACCGGGAAATCACACTCAATAGGAAATGAGATCATCCCGAACTGTGTTTAAAACTGCGGGGTTTTATTTCCAGTCACGATTCACATAAACTTCTCCTGCTTTGTCACTTCCTAGCACCATTCCCAAACCAGGTCCCACAAGCCAGATGACGACAACACTTTTTCATCAGGATGAGAGAAGGAATGCAAGGAACAGGGCAGAACTGCAGGTGGCAGGATGTGGTTTGAATTTTGGGCCAGTTTTGCAGAGGTAGGAGACAGAACTGACTGGCTCAAGAAAACAAGGAGACCTTCACAAGTAAATTCCTGAAAAGCAGCAGGCAGCTGCAACCCAGTCCATGTGAGGACTTGGATTGATAACAGGGCTGCATGCAAACCACTCTCTTGTCTTTGGTTTCTTCTTCTGCCTTCTCCACACCTGCAGCACCAAGGGAGCCTCTCAAGTGCAAAGCATCTCAGCTGCACTCACCAGCCAGGCATTTCACACTGCAGCAGAGGTGAGGCAGTGTAAGACAAAGCTGAGACTTTGTTATGGTACAGCTTCAGGGCTCTGCCATCACTAAGGCACAGTCACAAGAACATCCTTGCCAATCTGTGTGTGTCAACAGCAAACAAAATTAACTCCTGAATGAAGTGGATTGTTGAAAGCATCCACTGGAAGGCCCCAGCAGAAGSCTTAAATCATCACCACTGCTCTGTTTTCATCATAGAGATGTTCGTTRTTCCATTTACAGGATTACTAAAGTTTCCTTTAATAGGACCTGAAAAGCCTGGTTAAGCTGATTTCTGTCACTCCTTTTGCCCAGACGCTGGCTTCCTGCCCTTCCTGTGCCAGCCATCCCAACCATCTGGTGCTGAGAGAAGGTCACCTGCCTGCAAACCCAGAAGCACCTTCCACACCCACCACAGCAGGGATGGGAAACCATGGCAGGGCAAATGTGACACACCGAAAGAGGCAAACAGTGAAGCAAACCAGTGGAGCATGACAGAATAAAAACCCCTTCTTCTYGACATCAGTCAGCTCCAATACCAGTTTCTTCTTTGCCTTTGTAAGGATTTATGTGAGCCCTAGAACAATTATCAGTCCAAAAGAGACAGAAGAAGCCCCTGGAGAAGTCTCTCCTGCATGTGTTTGCTGGCTGAATTCCACTATTCTGTGGCCGTGGAACAGATGGCCAGAGCCAGTCCTCCAGGCTGCCAAACCTGGTTTATGTTTACAGACAAGCAACTGACAAGTCCTGCTATTTGGAAGCACAAAACTCATGTGCAAGCTAAAAGGAGATCTTGAGGTTTCTGTTAAATTCCATCCTTGAAGATGGATTTCTTCTGGGCAAATTCATGCAGTAAAAARGACACACATCTTTACAAAAGGGAGACCTGAATAAACCCAGCATGCTGATTGCTCCTTTTTGAGTCTGCTCTTGATAAAAAACACACTGAGAATGGAAACAGATTTTTCTCAACAGAACATAAAAAGAAAACTCTAAGAAACCTGTATTCAAGATAAAATCTGAAGAACTTACAGGCAAACCTGAATTTCCCAAGAGGAACAGGCCATTTGTTTGGCTCCTGCACAGGTGTCACTGATTCAACACCAGCAATGCACAAATAAAAGAGTACAAGGCAAAAAGAAGTGAGTGACTTACATGTGCTCCAGCTCTCTTTGTGTATCTTCCAAAGAAATGCCCAGCAGGACACAGAGGCCTCGTCCTATTGAACTGATCTGTTCACCACCCACTGGGGAGAGGAGAGGGGAAAAAAAGAAAAATAAGGCTAAAAGCAGTGTCTTGTTTTATGGCACAGGTAAGCACTGGTTTCAGCTGTCCAAACACTCAAGAAAACAGCATTCTAAACCGTGTTTCTCTGTCTTACATTTGTAGATTTGAAAGATCTTTCAAAAGCTTTWTTTCTAAAGCTTTCCAATGTCACGGCCTCTTTACGAGCTCAGGTTGTGCACTCCAGCATTTAGAAACACTGGATAAAGATTTTTTACTACAATTGGATCAGCTGTGCTAACCAGAGAGACAGTAGAACCCTCTCCAGTCCTTGTATAAATTATCCACCTGRTTGATGTCACTAAATACACTCCATTTTTCTACTCCACCATTCCCTTCATAAGTTGCATTTGTTAGGAAAAGGTAGATTCTACCTGATAGATCCTCACGGATTTTTTTGAAACACAACTTTTTAACAACCTGAAAATTACACCCTCCTAACAGAGAAAACAACCACTTTAATGACATATACAATAAAACACAAACCATAGACCTGTTGTGTCTTCCTAAGAAACATTTTAAATGATCTTTATAATCTTAATGTGGTTGGCCCTGTGGTCAGTCCAGCTGTGCACAAAGGCTGGGTGCACAAAGCACTTRCAGATGCTCTGTCAGTGCTGCACCACAAGCAGAAGCTGTTTGGTAACTCGCAGGCCACCCCGGTGGAGTCCCACAGCAGGCACCCACTGCCTCACGGGCAAATTTATTGGGGATTTTAGGCACCTTGAGCACAGAAGGTCCGAACCAGTGCAACAGCAGGGACATTCTATCAGGACACATCATTCCCACTGGCACCGGGGCTAGAGCCAGGAGAGCAGTGCCCGGTGACAGCTGTGACAGCTGCGACAGCAGCACCGACACACGCARTGCAAAAAGGTGAGSCAGGCTGCAGTGCCAACACGCCWGCGGGGCACGGAGGTGCCCGGGACMGCAGCGCCAAGGCAGGMAAGSKACARGAGGGGGACASCGGGATGGCACTGGAGCACACGCACGGCAATGCACAGCAGYGAGCAGGCCAGCCCCGCCAAGGCGCGGTGACAGCAGAGTGTGACAGAGCCCACGGAGCGTYTGGACAATGCTCTCGGGCACACGGTGCGATGGCTGGGGATCCCCTGCGCGGGGCTGGCTTGGACTCCCTGATCCCTGCGGGTCCCTTCCAACTMGGAACATTCCGCGATTCCGCCAACACGAGCGACGCAGGATGACGGCGAACACAAAGGCATCGAGGAGGCGATGGCAGCGCGGCTGGCA